CTCTGAACCAAGCTTTCTTGATGACAGAAATTAGGTTCAATGCAATTAAGTAAAAGTCGTAATCGATACAGGCCATAAAATATTTATGTATACGTTTACTGAAGATTCTACTTTAATCGTAGTGTGTCATATTTGTGAATTTAAATTGCACATACAAAGGTATTTACACTGTATTTATAATAAGTGTATAATTGTTTTAAAAAGGGTCTAGTTTTATACATCGCTGTACTGGTCATAGTTGTAGATGAATTATCACTTTTATGTGTTATTTGGTTTTTATTACATGTTAACCCTCAATCACGCCTTCTTTATTCCAATTTTTCTCTGTTGCCTGTCTGAATAGGTAGGTGCTGCCCTCATTCGTCTGTGTGTGAGGTTATGTTTCATTTGACAAGTTGGCAATATCAGACAATGCCTGAAGTGTCGTGGTTTTTTCACAGTTTTAATATTTTAACTGTTAATGACTATGAATGTTCTAATATATTCATATATTGATTCACAATCTCTGAGAGTGTACCGGCTGCTTATCTGAAATCTCGCTACTGTTCGAGTGCAGGATATCGATAGTTTACGGCATTAGAAATTGTACTTATCAAGTCACAGGAATCTAGGTTTATCAACAAATAAAATAATCTTCTACCCAAGATAACAAAGAAACACTTTTGGGGAAAGGTATTCTGTGTTTTATTTTTGGTTTTTGGACGATAAAATTGACCGATATGAAATCTTGCCTTGTAGCAACGTTTTCTTCAGAATACGACTAAAGAAATCACAAAATCACTTCTCAAATAGGACCCCCTCCCAGGCCCACTTTGTATGTAACAGATGGCACATCTGTAGTCATAAAAAAAGAACATCTTTCGTCTGGTATTATCCGCCTCTGATCTTGATGCTACGTGACTCCGACCTTTTTGTAGTGCAAAAGCTGTCTATGTACACTGCAGTCAGTGGGAATGTTAGATTCACAGTCCGTCTACACAACAAGGTTTATTATTAAGATCCAGTACATGTTTCGACCATAATTGGTCATCTTTCTATAAGTAATCGGAACTAATAAACATGACTGCTATATTGTATGCGTATTTGAAACAGATAAGATTCGCACGGATCCGTGTGCATGTACCCGGAAGCATATTGTGTAGACTGACCGTCGACCTAACGATCAGCGTCCATCTTTATAGATATCGATCAGTTATTTGCGTTTTCGCTTTTCATAGGCCTTACAGGTAAACGTTTCTTAGTGCAAGTCGATTTTTGAACTTTGTTAAAGAGTTGTGTTATGTAAGGGCGATCAGGTATCGGAATAAAGGGTCTTCCAGCAATTATCGCGAGTGGTGCTTTGAGGGTGGAGTTAATTTGAGAAAATACTGTTCGTGGCTGCATGTCACGTATTCGGGAGGAACCAGGCTGCAACCTGGGCTTTTCCTCGGACCATATGGCACCTCACTCCCGCGTCCTACTAAATCCCTGCCGATTCAACATTCACAATTCGGTCTGTGCTCCCGTATCTCATTGGACGCTGCAAATTCTCAGTAATTGACAGATCGTTGTAAAATGCCAGAATAACAATTAATTATATTATTACATAATTTATTTATACTTTGTTTAACGACACTTTTCAGTAACCCAAACAGCTTTGAATGAGAGGATGAAAATGAATAATTGATGTAGCTTTAAAGACGTAGTATTTCGTTTACTGGCTTTGACTTTCTACTCTTCTCGTTTCCTTTCTTATTCCATGATTTTTGTTTATCTTTCTCTCTTCATTTACGTCTGTTCTGAAGATTTCTGTCATCGTCCTGATGATGGAGGCAGCAAAGACCTTCGAAACGTCGGTATTCCACTAGACTACACGGAAAAGAACCCAGAAGACAGCCATCTTCAGATTCACTGTTCATTCCTTAATTTGTTCTCTCTTGCCGGGTTGTTGGCTTATGGTTGTCGCTTTGCCCACCTCAATAGGCGCTGTGTTGCAAACGGCGTCGTTAAACACAAGACGCGATGCGCCAGTACCAAATATCTACCCCTGTGCTTTGCTGTTGGGCTGCGTCGTATAAACAACTCGAATTCGTTGGAGCGTTTCTGCTCCTCTGTGATGCAACAGAAGAGGCTCTGATCAACAGATTTTTTTGCGTTCTCTGTTATTCGGTGCCGCCACATGCGGGAACGAGACAGTGACACACATTTAAGACGAAAGTTCAACGATGACTTAACTGCGTAATCAGCCGATGTCATTACGACATCCACGCAACATGAGATCATAGCGCATTTCGGCTGTGGATGAGATCAAAGCGAACAGCACACGTGGCACAGATGAGGAATTCTTACAGGATGTTGGTCGGGAAGCCGGAATTTAAGACCCAAGCGTACATGAGAGAATAATATTTAATTAAGAATGTTGGATGCCAGTTTATAATATTCCGAGCTTGAGCGCGAGCATTTTACATTTGTTTCCGCATGTCCAAAATAAAGAATGCCGCCAACAGACACCCTTACTTTCCTTAACCGGTAACCGAAACGTCGGCCTTAAATAACTCCAGTGTGCGTCTTTTAATCCTTATAAACTGACATAAAATCAACGTTTCGGAAGCCACGCGGTATTTTCGTCACTTGGTACGAGAGTGAAATATACTCTTTTGGGTCCATTGGTTGGACATGTTCTCTGTCTGTTTAATGATGCACTGGGATACTGGGAACGACACGTTCTTCAAGTGCCTGAGCACTGCGGGTCCCAACTTTTTCGTTGGCTCGATCTATAGACATTCGGTAGGACTCCTGATGATGGAGGCAGTATGACCTCCGAAACGTTGGTAAACATCGACCAGACTACACAGCGCAACAACCCAGAAGACAGAAATCTTCGCAATTCTTTCTTATCAAATTTATCCAAGTGTAAGTCCGTTTGTGGTCATTTTGTAAAGTCACTATTAGACTGCAGACAATGTGAAAACTCCTCAACACGACATTTGTTCATTCACTCTTACTAAAATCACTACTTTCTCTTATTATAACTTCATATATAACTCTCGGGTTCAAAAGTCGTGTGAGAATCAATAAATCCAGGGTGCATTATAAATGTTAATTTAATGTTATTTTCCAGTAAAAGTATTGGTTAAATGAAGGAGGCGGAGATGCGAGGGCCGTGTAGCTCACATATTTCCGAGATTAGATGATCTCACGGCGGTAAATCCGTCCATGTTGTTCTAGGTTTTAACGTCGCGTGGGCTTGTAAGTGGATACGAACGTTTCTGAGAACATACTTCAGCCCTGAAGATGGTATGAGCTTTTGAGAACTGTGAAATAGAATATTTTCCTTTGTCATTCGATATGTCTACGTGCCGTTGCTGGAATTCAGTGCTTACGAAGAAGTTAACTTATATTATGATTTGAATGTGTTTTTGTTTTAGAAACGAGCGTGATGATTTTATTGTTAATTGCTCTGTTATATGTTCAGTTCCTTTGTTTCGTTTTGTTGTTAATCATGATAAAATTACATGTTTCGTAAATTTTATTGGTAAACATAATATATATAATTTTACCCAAGGTCTTGGACTAAAATGACAAACTGTATACATTTCGATAATATTTCTCACTTCCCAAACAAAGACTAGTTACATATGTAACAAACTTTTCTTCATACTCCCGACATTGGAATGACAAAGGAAAACTGAAATATGGTCTTCTACTCCTCAGTGTTCTATTAGAAACATTAACCGAGACCACGGCTTGGTTGTGTGTGAGGGTGTTGAGATAATTTCATATCTGAAAGCCATTTCCGGTCCTAGAAGGACATCCTCCGACCTACTGATAATTATTTCTGCTTCAATTAAAGACGGGAAATAGCTTCTCTACAGCATCACAGTTGATCCTGTTACAACTGGAACCACACGAAGACTACAAGCCAAAGTTTGAAGACCGCCAAAGGGCAATGTCCAGTGTCTCATCCTCCCAGCGTATCAGACTAGATTGTAACATTTTTCTCTCATCTCATCCTAAACACAAGGATAATATTAAAATTTATTCTAAAGACGAAGGGTGATAAATGGACTTTTAGTACAATGGTGAACAGAAACTGAATGTTTTTGCCGAGAATATCATAACAAAACTGTTTCCATAAGATTTGAGGTTTTCTTCTGGATTTAACTCTTGAATGTGCAGGTATGACGAAAGAATTAGGGTTTTTACCTAAGCTATTGGAGGATGTACCATTGGACCATTGGCAACGTGACAAATTTTGTGGTTCATGTGTAATGCTCGTTTTATCCGCGACGTAAAATAGTTTCTAGATGATCGATTGATAGGACGAAACGGAACGGGTTTGTAGCCCTCCGCGATCTCTTCATTTCACATGTCAAATGCTACCTGAGGGCATAGTTTATTCGAAAAAGAGTCAAACCAAATGTTTGGCTTTAATTTAGGAATGAAACACGAACCTTGAATTTGGTTCACGTGTTTAAGAATCACCCTGTATAATGTTTCAGTATTTTTCTTAAAATGTGAACAGGATCTATAGCAGATGAGTTTAAAACTTTTTGACTGCACGAGCCATTTCAATGGATGCAACCCTCTGACAAACACAACAGGCGATGTCATATCTTCGGAAAATCATGAATTTGTCGTCTCTTATGCGATAGAGACAGCCACAGTATATCTTGGTCCAACACGGTGAATTCGCGTTTAACGTACATAATAAGGCATGGGATTAGTGGCGTAACCTTGAAACTTTTACACTTACGTTCTGATCCCACAAAGCTGTCGAATCCGCGTTGGACAAACCCGCGTATTAGGAAAGTTTGTTTGTATTATATTTATTTATTCTAACAGAACAGCTAAACACATTTTCCCTCCTTCCTTCCTTCCTTTATCGTAAAATGATTCGCTGTTCCTTTAACTTTGCGCTCCACAGGGTACAAACCATTGATCTGATGAATGGGATCCGAGATAAATCGGCGAACGGTACATAACGTAGTTGCGCGCTGTCGGAGAGACCGCGCAGGGAGATTGCGCAGTGGGATTCAGTCGGTGGCCGTCCGTCGCGCAGTGCAGTCGCGTGTTGTTTCGTGTTTGTGCAATGGCGGGCGAGTGGCCGGGTGTATTCATTGCCCTGTGTGTGGTTGACTTGCTTGTGCTCGGACAGGTGTCACACGTGGACCCCGTAGGTTTCACGAGTCACGAAGGAACGAGGTGCTACGACCACGGACGGCCTCAGGTAAGTCGTTATCTGGCATTGACACTGCAGCTTATGGAGATTTTTAAGAGCAAGCCACGGTTAAACGACACAGAGACTTGCGTTAGGTATCTTGTATTGGAGACAAAACGTATCGTGTCCATTCAGAAAGATTAAAAAGTTTTAACTTGTAGGAAGTGAACAGCTTCAGAAATCGGTTCCTGATATTCCGAGGTTTAACCTGTTGTTTGTAATAGGATTCTTTTCGCTCTGATTTTCGTGTAGCAAACATAACCACACATTTTTGTAGAAACTCGTATCTGTTCGTCGTGGCTTGCGATTAAAATAAAAATTCGATTGTGATGGTGAAAAATTGTTTTCGCGTCGTTCTGTGTCGGGTTTATTTCGTATTAGTAATAATACTGTAAGTGTGATGGAGATGTAATTCTTGTACTGATTTCGGTTTAATGTAAAGATAATTTAGGTTCTGGTACAGGCATCGCTTTATTTGGTAAATTAAAGGCTTCACATATTGTATTCAACGAATATTATTACGAAGATCAAACCAAGGAGAATTAGACGGAAAGACATGTAGCACGCACCGTTTAGATGTTAACTGCGTCCAGAATTTTTGTCGACGGTAGTGAAGGGAAGAAATCACTTCACAAATCGATAGGGAGATATTATTAAAACTAATCTAAAATAATTTTTATGTTGATTGAATTGAACCATCTTGTTACGGGCTCTTGTGAACACGATAATGAACATTCAGGTTTTATAAAAGCTGTGAAATTCTTGAAAAGCTGAATCCCAAGTTCTCTGTTCAGCTGTCCCAAAAAGATGTATACGCACATTCAGTGAATGAAAGACTTTCAATAAACCAAATTTATTCTAGCGTCTGCATTGACGCGTAGTGTAGGTGTTTGAAGTGACCACCGTTAAGTTCGTGGCACAATTGACGGCGGTGGGCAAGCGACGACCACCCCCCACAACTGCTGCTGCGTGTACGTCTTTACGGGGCAGCCTGTGTGTACGGAGCGAAGCAGAGGAAACAGCTCACAGTTCTCTGTGATTACGGCCAAGTTCCAATATTCGTAATCTATTTATTTACTAGACGATTTTATGTTGCGCTGTGACGTGGACCAGAGCCCGCCACCGGTCATTTGTCTGTGACGTGGAAAGTGGTCAAATCGGACGGAACAGGGTGACTCGGAAGTAAATTTTGAACTCGGTGCACCTTAGCAGATAATGTGGAAAAAATCACCGCGGTGAGTGAGTTCTGTCTCAGAATTCGATCTCAATTGTGACCAAGAGCGCGGTTGGGGCTTATTTAAAGACGGGTTGACCGAAACCTTTTGCGTTTGTTTCGTATTTATCTCCCAAAGTCGAGTCGTCCCGTTTATTAGACGTAAACTGGACCGATGGATGGTCCGATAATCAAAAATATTGGATAATTCGGAAGACCAATGCTAAAGCTTGGGTTAATATCAACTGAATTATAACTCAGTTGACGATATTATTTAATTATGAAGACATCAACTTAAAAAGGTTCAGGATTTTCGATTATGTAAATTTGTATATAAAAGAGCTTGTTTTTTAAGATGTTATAAATGTTTTGAGCCAGTGCGTCTGAAGCAGCAGAGAGCATAATAAAATGTCGAAGGCGAGAGGCGGAGAGTGTGATTCATTCCGCCATATTGCAGAGATGACCGTCGACAAAATGGAAAAATCGGACACGGCACGTCGGATAATCGGGGACTCGCCCTGCACTTGGACGGCCTTGACACGTTTCGGGGTTGCGCTGTGCGGATTTGCGATTTATCTGATCTGAAGTATCAGCGCAGTCTTGGCTATTGTGTTCCTGTAATTCGTGCGGTTTCAGAAAATCCCCGCGTTTTGTGGAAGCCAAGAGACCGCCGCCACTGAACCCTATCGTATGTCAGATGAAACCTGTTCATACCCTCCCACGATATTTATTTAAAATTTACTTTAAAATTAGCCTTCCATCTTCCGAAATATCACCTCCCTTCAAGTTTCCCTGCAAAAATTCTGTGTTCATTTATAACATCCGTACGCTATTAAATCAAACGTATTCACTGTCTGTGTGTTTAAATGTTGCTGATGTGTGTTTTTTACTACAGTGAATCGATGTTTTATAATATAATTGTCGCCAGAATCGTTTTGGCCAATCCGCGACTGTGCCGTAAGTTCCATGACTTTTGTTTACCCTTCGCGATATATTATGAAATTAATACGAAGGGTTGAGACTGTATGAAACTCTAAAGGTTCTTTGTCAATCCCCGAGGTAATACACGAGTTCACGTGGAATTATATTGACAAGGTAAATCAGGACTCGGAGAGAAACCTGTTTTGTCGCCCCCACGTGGACCGCTCTGGGATCGGACCCGGGACTCCGCGGTGAGAAGCCGGCGACTAACCGCGTGAGCTATGGCACAGCCCTAACTCGGTGTTACGCGGTGATCTGCAGGTAATGGCTGCATTGTGACTAGCAATATTAAAATGATATAAAAGGTCGAAGACATAATCTCACCAAAACAAAGCGAGCGAGCCGACCGGCCCAGAGTCTTATATTCTTCTGTGCATGATTAATTATTTATTGTGTGACGTTGCCTCCGCCCAGCTGACGCTCAGTGAAACATCGCGTATCACTCTCAACACTTGAATCACATCCACAAGCCTCTCAGCGAGAAACAGAAGTTAATTAGAGGAAGGGTGACTGAGGAAAGCCATTAGAACACCTGGGTGTTTGGGTCCATAATCGAGTTTGGTATTTTTGAAGTACGAAGCAACCACTTAACAGCGACGATCCAGCTCTGGCAGCGGATTCAACGAACCAGTTTCAAATTGTGTTTATAAAAAGAATAAAACGCTGCTTTGGGTACGTAGCACACTTTTGCGCTTCGACGCGCCGAGCCCGGGTGACAACAGTGATAAAGCGGATTTACTCACGCGAGTTTTACCTCCGTTTCAATTTGGGCGCTTGTGGGGAAACTCGTCTCTTCGGCTGCTCGTGAGAGCAGAGAGAAACTGTCGAAGGTCAACGCGAACGACGTTTCGTGAAACTACTGCCGTTGCAGTGTCTGAAGTTGTGATTGAACAAATTGCGATCGGAGATTGTTTCAAGAGACTGAACATGTTTAGTTAAGAAAGTTGCCGTACCAACGCGAGTGCGTAAGCGATGTCGCTCGATTCGAGGTCGTAGTACCGCCTCTACGCATGCGTAGGAGCAATCAGGCAGACACATGGCGGAATGCTATGCTATAGCTGTCGAAACTTCCTACAATCATCGAACCACGTTATTTCTGATATGGGACAATGATGACGATGAGAAGTAAGTTGAAGACATTCTGAGTGGAAAAAAATTATATTAATTTTTAATATAAAATGTAAAGCGTGTTGTGTGTCGAATGGTAAGTAATTTAAAAAATTAATTTTAATGGCAAGCTATTTATTATTTTATTTCAGATTGTTGCAGAATTTATTGGTAAAGAGGTCTCTGACTTGTCTTACTTCAGCACTTGACAGGTTTTTCTTGCCATTTGTTGGTCCACGTGATTTTCTTCAGTTACGCTTAGTTGTTGTATGACGTAATGATTCAGTTTACTGTAAGGGCGGTATCGCACTAGGATGCCAACGGGAGGCCATGGCGCAGCTGCCAGCATCTCGGCCAAACTCAATGCATTAATTTAGTAGTCACATATCGCACCTGGCATCCGTCTGGCAGCGCTTCCAACTTGGCATCGCTGCCAACCAAGATGCCAAGTTCAAATGCTACTGGCATCGCTGCCAAGGCCAAATCAACATCACATGACAGTCTGGCCAGTCCATTGGCGTCCGTGCGATGTGCTTGTGTGTATTTCTGTTTCTTCCAAACGTGGATAATATCGACACCGAAAGATTGATAATTGAAATTCAGTCCCGACTATGGGATTCATCTGCTATTGAATACGCAAACCGGGACTTGTAAAAAAGAAACTGGGTAGAACTTGTGGAAATATTTGGAGGAGGAGATTTATTTACAGTAGAAAAGAAAGAATTAGCTAAGAAGTGTTTCTATGGCTTTATTTGTGGGGCCGCTCTCCAATATGGCAACTTGATTTTTAAGTTTTTTTTTTTTACTTATTTCTTTGTTACAGAATTGAAATTCACTCCAGGTATGTAGTTTTGATAAAGGTAAATCTCATTTTCTCAAAAGTGATAAAAGTGGACATTTCTCCTTGCTAATAGCCCTTCATTTCGTGATCTCATAATGTTGATCCATCTGTTCGCTCGACTGGCGTCGAAAGCTGGCAGCTTGTCTGGCGTCTTCTTCTGGCAGCTGGACGCCATGGCATCCTAGTGTCTGATCAAGTTGCGGAGAAGGCAAACACGTTTACCTTAACACAAGCTTTTCAGGAAATTTTCTATGTCTAACGACAGAATATAAAATTCGATAAACTCTCGAGCGATCGAGAGGCGCTAGTTGTGAAGCGGTCCGTTCAGGAACTACAACCCTCTGCCGGTTCGGTCAGTTTAAGTGCGCCTGTCCTTTGAGAGGATACGCCTCTCACCAATTAGAACGATAGGCGACTTCACTTTGGTTCCTCTTGAGCAGGTAGAACGTCAAATTAACTTTTCTTAAGTATATTCAAATCATCTTTTTCCGACAAAAGTGTTTCTCCTCCCACCCCAATCATCAAGACTTTTTTGTATCTGCTACACCTTGCAATATGGCCGAGTAATATTTAAGGTAATCGTTATAAGTAGAGGGCATTTTACCTGGCAGCATTTCTCGCAACCGAAACAGTTGGGGAATTTTCAAAGTTTAGAAGCATCTGAATCCACTTTGAAGTTGGCTGTCTTCTGGATTGTTGTGCCGTGCAGTCTGGTAGATGTTTATCGACGTTTCAGAGGCCCCTGCTGCTTCCATCATCAGGGCGATGACTCACCGCCTTGAAAACCTCGAATCCTACTCATTCCACTTATTAGAAAGGTTCAGATACTTTGAGTTTGATGTTGTTTTCCCCATTTGATACGCAAAA